AGAGTTTCACTCTTGTTGCCCAGGCTGGAGTGCAATGGCACAATCTCGGCTTACTGCAACCTCCACCTCCTAGGTTTAAGCGCTTCTCCTGCCTCAGGCTCCCAAGTAGCTGGGATTACAGCCCTGTGCCACCACGAGCTAATTTTTTGTATTTGGTAGAGATGGGGTTTCACCATGTTGGCCAGGCTGGTCTCGAACTCCTGACCTCAAGTGATCCACCTGCCTCAGCCTCCCAAAGTGCTGGGATTACAGGCGTGAGCTACCACGCCCAGCTTGGCTATGGTTTTGTGCCAGAGATCTGGAAGCAACATTGTACAAGGTAAGGGGGCTATTTCTGGCCTGTCCCAATCTCCTACAGATGTCACCACCGTCTCCCTCCCAAAGCAAACACACATAGGCCCCAGCTCTGTGCAGAGGTGCAGGTGCCAAGGGAGAGCACTTCACGTGGGAAACTTACTGCTGAGCGTTGGCGGCAGGGGCGGCTGGATGGGGTAGGCTGGCTGTGCAAATGGCTTGATGCTGCAGACAAGAGCACAGCCTGGTGAGAGGGCTCCCTCTTCCCCACCTTCCACCTGGCCCAGACCCTCTTCCAGGACCCTATAGGAAGTCACCCAGCCTTTCTGCTGAGGCCTAGAAATGCAGGCTAAAAAGCGAACTCACAAGCTTCTTTTTTTTCCACATTTAACTTTAGTGAAATCCTACCACGTCTCCCAGCTGATCTGAGCGTTTAATGTAGCATTTCAAACCCTCCAACCCTGAAAAGCTGGTCCTTATGCTGAGGGTGTGTCTTTTGATGAAAGTTGTTTTAAGAGTTGAAAAATCAGCACACTTGACCACTTGACTGATTAACTTCGAGGCTGCCTCAGAAACTGAGTGAAAAGTAAATGAAGGGACAGGTGACAAGTGGATGCATGCTAATGAGAGAACGCACAGGTGAGCAGCCAGCACATCAGCTCTCCTGCTGCACTCTCCAGCCCTCTATTTTGTTTGTTTTTTAGAGACAGGGTCTCCCTCTGTTGCCCAGGCTGGAGTGGCAGTGGTGCAATCAAAGCTCACTACAGCCTGGAACTCTGAACTCCTGAGCTCAAGCAATCCTAGCCTGCCTCAGCCTCCCAAGTAGCTAAGACTACCCGGGCACGCACCACCACGCCCAGCTAATTTTTTTTTTTTTTTTTTTGAGAGAGCAGATCTTGCCATTTTGCCCAGGGTGATCTTGAACTCCTGGCCTCAAGTGATCTTCCCACCTCGGGCTCCCAAAGTGCTAGGATTGATGACAGGTGTGAGCCACCACCACCCAGCCTGCATCTCTCTATTTTCGAATTAAAACTTTGCTCAGCTGTTGCTGGAGCTCAAATGGGATGGAAGCATCGTGTGGCTACCAGGAGGAACAGGGCATGGGACGTTGAGTCCAATACTCACTCCTGAGAAGGTCCAGGCTGCTGTCCCAGGAGAGGGGGGCTGCTCCAGAACTGCAGGGATGAGACAAGGCCCAGCGGCCCCTCAGCATCCACGAACCCCTTGAAAGCCCATCCTTTATGGCACACCCTGATACCAGCCCACCGCCTGTGACCCATGTACCCGAGAGGAAGTGGAGAACACGGCCTGGGGCAGAGGGGAGGGTGGGCTGAACTTGTTTTGCAGGACACTGGCAGAGACGATCTGGGCAGAGGACATGGATGCCATGCTCTGAAGGGCTTTGTCCTTGGAGACCTGGTCCTGGGGAGAGGGGGCTGCATGAGGCCAGGGCCAGGCCGGATGGGGCCAGGGCTTGCTTTAGGGCCCCCTCCCAGAACCTGGGCAGAGTCCAAAGCACTAGGATGACAGATGTTCCTCAAGGTCCAGGCCTGGATTCCAGCCCCAGCTCTGCTGTGTGGTCTTGGGAGAATCTCTGCACCTTCCTGGCCTCAGTCCCCCAAGTGCCCCTCACCTCTGACCACAATCCACGGTAAGAAATTATTTTATTTTATTCCAAAGGCCAATATATATCAAGATATTTCCTCTTACTAACATGTCCAGTACTCTCCTATTTTCTGTGTCATCAGTGGTTCTCAAAATACGGTCCCTGGACTAACACACCAGCATCACCTGGAAGCACGTTAGAAATGTACATTTTTATTTAAAAAAAAATTTTATTTGTAGAGATGGGTTTTTGCTACATTGCTCAGGCTGCTCCCAAACTCCTGGGCATGATGGATCTCTCCACCTTGGCCTCCCAACGTGCTGGGATTACAGGCCTGAGACACTGTGCCCAACCAGAAATGTATATTTTCTGGCCCCTGCCCAGACCCACTGAATCAGAAACTCTGAGGTGAGGCCCAGAAATTTGCTTTATCAAGCCCTCCAGGTAATTCTGATGTACTCTAAGGTTTTTTGAGAACCACTGTATATCTTTTTTTTTTTTTTTTTTA